AGAGAGAGAAAACAAGCAGGAGAGGCAGAGGGAGAAGCAGGCTTCCCACCGAGCTGGGAGTCCGATGTGCGGCTCGGTCCCAGGACCCTGCGATCATGACCTGAGCCGAAGGCAGACATCCAACCATCTGAGCCACTCAGGCGCCCCTGTTAGTTTTCTTATACCAGCAAAGTATTGAAGATGTTTTACTTTGATTTTTTATTATGCATTTTCACCAGCTTCTGAAGGCAGGGGTAGCAGGAGCTCCGTGAAAGGCACCGCGGCTTCGTAATTAAGAGGGTGGGCTTTCGAATGAAGTGCTGGGTCCATCTGGGTCCATCTCTCATCTCCTCCACCTCACTGCTGTGTGGCCCAGCAAATCCCTCTTCTGTCTGAGCCTCAGTTTTGTTAACTGTAAACTGGAGTATAATCTGTCCCTGTTTCATACGGTTAATATAAGGATTGAATAGAATGTTGATTAACACATGTCCAGCACATAGAAAGAGCTCATCAATACACAGTAACTAATATCAGTTATTCATGGAACATCAGAGCCAAAGGGGCCCTCAATGTTGCAGTCTGATGCACCGAGTTTACAAATAAGAAAGCAGGCCCTGAACATTGTAATTAGCAGGTCTATGGTCATATCCTGTTGATGAGTGTTACCCTCTACACCTGCTGGTCCCTTGTTATGGAGTGTTTCTTGTTCCTCTTTCCATCTTGAATCAAAAGTCAGGACTTGAAGTGAATTTGACAAACCGGCATTGAGCACTGACTCTGTGCATGGCCTGGGACTCGTTTGGGCCCAGATGGCATCATTGGCTTAGTAACCCATCATGCTCTGGAGAAGACAGTGGGTGCTTAAGGACTGCTGAGGGGGAGGGTTGACTGGGAAGAGCTCCTGAGAGCAAGGGGCTGGGGGGACATGCTAGAAATTCTGCTGGCCTTGGGACCAGTCAGACCTGGGTCTGGAACTTGGCACACCTATGTATTAGAAGGGCGGCTTGGCAAATCTAGGACAATTTGTGTAACAAAAGAAATAGGGATAGTAATGGATTATAACCCATCAAATAAAGCAAACACCCATAAGTCCATATGGATTTCAATAAATAACTAACTGAGGGAGAAGAGAAAGCTCTTTCTTCCAGTAGAATTCCAGTTAAAAAATATAGAAGGAGGGGCGCCTGGCTGGCTCAGTTGGTGGAGCGTGTGACTCTTGATCTTGAAGTTTCGACTTCCAGCCCCACACTGGGTGGAGAGATTACTTAAAAATAAAATCTTTACAAAATATATAGAAAGAAAGATGAAAAGAGTAAATCACCAATTGGTGAATACACAGTCATTATTGTTTTAGGAAGGAATTATCCATGGATGCTAAAATTAGTGGGTGAAAGTCTGATGAAAAACAGGATATTCACATAGTCTCAAATATCCCCTCACGAGACCCCTAACTAATGCCAAAAAGAAAAATAATAATCTTGCCATGGAGAATTTTGGCAGATACCACCCTAGCCAAGATCAGAGTTGATATCACCAATTAACGAGATGTATGAACATCATCTGCCTCCCGAGACCCTGAGAAGGGCACAGCATCACTTTCGTGCCCAAAGTGCATTACCTCTCAATTTAATGATGAGGAAACACCACATGAACCCAAACTGAGGAATATTCAGTAAATGGCAAGACCTTTCCTCAGGTGCCAATGTCATGAAATCCAAAGACAGAGGCGCTGTCATGGACTGGAGGAGAGTCAGGAGGCATGATGACTAAACACAGTGTGCAATCCTAGATTGGATCCAGGAAAAGGGCATTCACCGGAAAACTGATTAAATTTAAATACGGTCTGTAGTAAATAGTATTGTATCCGTGTAATTTCTTATTTTTGACAATTAGGCTACGGTTATGTAAGATGTTAATCTATTAGAAAGCTGGGTGAGGGCTATCTGGGGAATGCCTTGTACTATTTTTGCAACTTTTTTTCTAAGTCTGAAATTATTTCTAAATGAAAAGCTAAGAAAAATAGAAGGAAAGGAAGAGAGAAAGAAAGAAGAAAAGAATGTCTTTGGGAAATCTCTTCTCTTCCCTGATCCTTTCTTTCCTCATCTGTAGACTGGGGCCCTCACTCCAAACACTTCAGAGTGGCCTGAGGATAAAATGGAACAGTGCAAAGCAACAGTGTGCATGAACTGATGTTACAAACTTATTCTTGCTGCTAGTCATGGCAGCTTATGTGTCTTGATGAGATGCTTGAGCTGCTAAACTTCAGGAGCGTTCTACCCTAATGAGAAACATCTGGCTGCAAGCTACTTCCTTCCAGCCATTTGCTATGACCTTGCCCAGCAGAATAATAATGCCAGCCTTGTGGCTGGGTGGCTGTTGTCAAGGAGATGGAGCCAGATAGCCCAAACAGCTGGTGGCAGTGACATCATCTTCAGGCTTGGCAGAAAGAAGGGCCGTGGTGAGACAGAGATGGGGCAAAGGGCTCGTCCCTGGCCACGAAAATGGGAAAAACAACTTCCCAAATAGGCCATCCGTTGTCAGTTGATTCTATTTTCAGTTTCCAGGTTCACCAAAGGGTTTAGCACACCATCCGGGAACATAGTCATTTGCTGGACAGGGCAATGGATTCATCATAAGGAGAGCTCCTCACAGGCTCTTTCTTCTTTACAGTTTTCAAAGTATCTAGTTAGATAATGCAGCTGTGTGAGCTCAGTGTTGTCTGCCCCATTTTACACATGGGAAAACCAAGGAGGAGCAAAAGGGGAAGGGACCCCAGTCACAGGAAAAGTCGGAGGACTTTCCAGAGTCTGAATCTAGGTGCCCAGACTTCCAGTCCTGCGATCATACTGCCCACATCAAGATCCACCTTGTGGCCACCTTGCAGCAGTTACCCAAGGACTAGAGTCTGGTGAACACATCCCTGAAACACTGTTGTCTGGATGTAGACCTCATCTCTTAGTCCTACATTTTAAAGAGTAGAAAAACAAACAGATATGAAAGACAGGCTGCCTGAAACAATTAGGACATTGGAGTTTAGAGGGACCTGGGCTCCAATCCCAGCTCTGCAACTTACCAGCAATGAGACCTGGAGTGAGTTATTTTTACCTCTTTTGGTCTCTGTCTTCTCATCTGTGAGTAAAATGGGGATAACACCTGTACCTACTCCAGAGGACCTTTGTGAGAGTTCAGGGAGGTGGTACGTGTGATATGCTGGACACAGGAAATACACGAGAGATGCTCAAAATGTGTAAATCCTTGTCCTTGTTTCTTTCCTCAAGAGCTTCCATCTGCTGGATGGAAAGTTAGTGCCTTCATTTGGGGAGTGATGATTTGTGACTCAGCCTCCCTCACCAGAACAGAGTTGGCAGTGTGTTTGTAGCTTTGAAAGAAACACAAAGAAATCGCCTCCAGAGCTGTGAGGTCCTGAGACATCCATCTAGTCCAACCTTCTTATTTCAGAGGTGTAGAAACAGACCCAGAGGAGTGGTCTGCAAAGATCACAGAGGGTTGGTGGCAGAATCAGGGCAGGCATCCTGACACCTCCAGCTTCCCTACTTTTGGACACACTCATCTCTTTGGTTGAACTTAGCCTGTTCCAGGGCATCAAGGACTGTCCCTTCCCTGGGTCGGGCGTCTGATGTGCGAACTTGTTCCTGCCCACTCTCTCTTTCAGGCTGTTGTTTTATTGCTGATTCAGGGGTGGGTGAAGAAGAGGGACAGGTGCAGGACCATGAGTTTTGTAGACTTCACTAAAGCTAATAAAGGGGTGGGGGAGAGATTTATGGGATTACCGTTGACAGGGCTACTAGAGATATCTCAGGTCATCCTCACATCCTCACAAAAATCTTGCAGGATAGATATTAGCCCCCACTTTCCAGATTGGTTGAATCATTCATTCAACATATATTTTAAAATGCCTTCTGGGTGGCAGACATAGTGTTGGGGATATAGCAGGGAACAATTCAGAACACAGTATCTGTCCTCATCGGGTTTCCTGTCTAGAGCAAAAGAAAGACTTTCTAAAAAACAGAAATACGTAATTGCAAAGTGTGGTTAAGTGCCACAAAAGAAAAATATGGGTTGCTAAGAATACAAGAAAGGACTTGCTTTACAGTAGAGGATTAGAGAAGACCTCTTTTGGAAAGTACACTTATGTTTTAGCACGCCAGAAGACTTGTACCTGATTATGGGGAAAGTCACCATCTACACACTCCCCCATCTTTTCAAGTTATTTTCATCCAGGATTCTTCTGACAGCCTGCAGGGGAAGGTAGCAACACCGAGATGAGGAGAGGGTGGTTGACTTCACTGGCCCAGTTCTATCAAAATTATCCATTTATTTGCTTGTGCACTAGGAAGGGCAACCAGGGTTACGGAGAGCCCTGATCTAGTTGGCAGGAGCCGTGGGTCTGGCTTTGACACTTTGGGCGATTCATTTCCTTTCTCCGGGCCTCAGTTTACTGATCTCAAGTGCGTTTGAGCTTTGGGAGATTGGAGGAGTGTTGGTGATCACCGACTCAAAGGGATGAGCTTATTTGCTTCAAAATAAGTGTGCAAATTACTGCTTGATTTGGGATCCCACAGGAAGGATTTTTCTTAAAGTGAGGCGGCACTTGTTTATCTGAATTTCAGCTCAAGGCGGAAGCCTTTTGGATGCACAGTATGATGACCCCTAAGGTTAGGGGGTCATTCTTCTAGAAAAGATGTTGGGTTAGGAACTCTAAGGGTCGGTGAAAGACTGGTTTCCCATCTCCCGCTTGAATTAACGGACCAAAACCGGCCTTTGCCCTCAACAAAGATGGCCCTTGCCCAGGCCTCGGCCTGAGTGCCCTCACAAAAAATGGCAGCCTGCCTCTCTTTTCTTAGTCTTGCGGGCCCAAGTGCTAATGCTCTTGCCCTTAATCAAGATGGAACCCGCTCGTGCTTCTCTGCCCGGCCTCTGGGCCCGGTCTGTCGGCTTCACCGCGCGCGCCTTGATGACCCCGCCTCGTTTCCGTAGGAAGAAGCGCCGGGAAAGATGGCGGCGGCTGCGGTTTGAATTCCAGCGGCGCCGCCAGAGTCCGAACAAGAGCAGGATTGGAGGGGGCGGGGACCTGGGGATCCTGCGGGTCGCGAAAGCGGGGGGAACCAGTTGGCCCCGCCGCCACAGACACCAACGCCACCACCTCCTCTGTGTCCACGATGGACTCGGTGTTGGAAGAGGACGTCACCCTCCCCGGGACGCTCAGCGGCTGCAGGTGCGGCCGGGGCTTTGCAGGGTCGCGGTGACCCGGCCGGGATTCCGGCTGATGGGGGTACACCCTGACCGAGACTTGGGGTTTGCCTTTGAGAGTGTTTGAGGGCGTCCGGGCAGGGGCAGTGGGGTGGGGTGGGGTCTGGGAGGGTGAGTGTCTCGAGGACCCAGCAGCTGATACTGAGTGTGGAGGGACCGGGGGTCCCGACCTACGTCACACCTGCCTCTTGTATTTCGGGAAATACTTTGAAGAGGGTGTGAGGGTCAGGTAAGGGGTTTCCTGAAGAGGGGGAGGAGGGGGACCTCTTGGCGTGTATCATTAGTAGGGACTGTTTGAGGAGTAGGGACCTTGGAGGTTTGCTTTCATTATGGGGAAGGTAGTTGGTGTGTCTGGACTTCGTTCATGGGATCACATAGTGGCCACCAAGACGGAGGCAATGAAGTGCAGTGGTTAAGAACCTTGGCTGGATTTGAACAGAATTGGGTTCAGATCCGACCCTTTAACCTAACTTGTTGTGTGACTTTAGTAAAGGGATTTAACCTGTGTCCCGTCTGTAACGTGGGACTAGTAGTAACATCCACCCAACAGAACTGGGGTGAAGAGGAAAAGAGAAGATGACTTCCCTGCGATTTGCTTGGCACGAGTAGTGTTTGGCACATAATCGGTGCTTAAAAAATGATCCTGTGTTATCATATCATTATCACCATCATCATCATCGTCAGTATGACAAATTGGGGACTAATGGCTGGGAGTGGCCTCCCAATGGACCTGTCCCAAGAGGCTGTGGGAGCCCACATTGTCCGTGGGGCCTGGTGTCTTTCCTTTTGGTAGGAGAGCCTGACAGAGCCCTAGACTGCTCCAGGGCTGGGGCCGTTTGGTTTTTGGGGGCTCCTGGTGGAGAGTGGGAGGAAGGATGTGGAGGAGAGCCCCGGCTGAGAATCCGCAGTGTTTATCCAGGTCTGCTGGGATAGGCTGCTGGTTTTAGTCACAGACCCTCATTGAAAGGGTGACCATGTTATTTATTATACAACCCGGGATACTTTTAAGAGTGAAATGGGCACAATTAATATTTATGTCTAGACAGCAGGCATAAACTGGTCCCATCTTGGGCAAACCCGGACAAATGGTTACTCTGTTTATTGAGAACCCGTTATGTGTCAGGCACAGAGCAAGGCCCTTCACAGCTCCTGCCTGATTGCATCCTGTGGTAGTTCATCACGTCCCTTTCTCTTCATCTGACTACCACTGTCCCAACATAATTGGGGAAGACCTGTCACTTCGATTGTCCTCACACCTGTAATCGTCCTTTCTACTACAGTTTGAAAGCCTTGTTAGAGGGTAAATCCGACGGTCAGTCTGCTGCTGTATATCTGTTTAGTGCTTCTCATTGCCATTAAGATAAAGTCCATTAAGGGGCGCCTCGGTGGTTAAGTCGTTGGGCGTCTGCCTTCGGCTCGGGTCATGATCCCAGGGTCCTGGGATCAAGCCCCACGTCGGGCTCCGTGCTCTGCAGGAAGCCTGCTTCTCCCTCTCCCACATCCCCTGCTTGTGTTCCCTCCTCTCTCTCTCTTTCTGTCAAATAAAGAAAATCTTAAAAAAAAAAGATAAAGTCCATTAATATTCTCTGCTTTTCTTATCTCTGTGCCAGTTGACCAAGCCCTTGGGCTTTGGGACCCAGACCTGGGTGGGTTTCAGTCCCAGTTCTGTATTTAACAACCTGTGGTCTTTGGCAAGTCACTCGCTCCTTGGGAGCCTCAGTATTCGTCATCTGAAAAATGGGTGAATCTGAAAGGATTTTGACCAGTGTCTGACAGAGTAACAACTCAGCAGATGCACACATCCCTTCCCTTGCCTCCCCTTCCTGCCTTCGCTGCTTACGTTCCTGTGACTGATGTCTTACCTGCTTCAGGCCCTCCCTGACTCCCCATCACCCTCAGGATGTTCTTTAATATAGCTTCTAACGTCCTTCATCAGCTGGCCCCGTTTACCTCACTGACCCGCTCTGTCCTCTCTGCCCCTCCCTTTCTCCTCCCCAACACTTGCCTCTGTCTGGCTGTCACACTCTGTCATGAGTGGCCTTGCCTTGTTCATTCTTATTGTTGGATCTGTGCACTTGCTCTCCCTGCTGCCTGGGTTGCCTTCCCTTCTCCCCTGTGCCTTATTAACCCCTCTTATTTTTCAGGTCTCACTTCGATTTCAGTAGGAAGCCTTTGCTGACATACCCCCATCCCCACCTGGGCCCCCTGTGCTCTTCCAGCCACCCCCGCCCATCACTGACCCCGTCTCAGCCCTTATTTACCTCACAGTTTTTTTTTTTTTTTAAGATTTTATTTATTTATTTGAGAGAGGGAGAGCATGTGCACAAGGAGGGGGAGGGGCAGAGGGCGATAGAGAAGCAGACCCCTGCTGAGCATGCAGCCCAGTGCAGGACCCTGGGAGCATGACCTGAGCCAAAGGCAGACACTTAACCGACTGAGCCACCCAGGCACCCCTACCTCACTGAGTTTTATTGACTAACGCTGTTCAATAGAAATATAATGTGAGCCACATATGTAATTTAAACTTTTTTAGGAGCCACAATGAAAAAGTAAAAAACAGGTGAAATTAATTTTAATAATATATTTGATTTAACCCAATATTTCCATATATTATCATTCTAAGTTGCAAACAATAAAAAATTCTTAATGAAATATTTCAGTTTTTTTTATCTTACACTTTGAAACCTGGTATGCATTTTTACACTTACAAGCACTTCTTGATTTGGATTTACCACATTTTAAGTGCTCAACAGGTACACGTGGCTGGTGGTTCCTGCACTGGATGGTGCAGGTACAACTGTAACGTGCCTGTCTCCCTAATTAGACTCTGACCTGTTTGAGAGCAGGGACTGTGTTTTGTTCATCTTTGTAACGCCAGTTCCTAACCTGGTATGAGGCACATAAATGGGAGGTGACGGTATTATCCCCTTTTTACAGGTGAGCACACTGAGGCTCAGAGAGGTGAAGTGAATGGTCTGGGATTCCATAAAAAAGTATGTGATCGAGCCAAGATTTACTTTATTTATTTTTTTATTTATTTATATTATTTAAATTTTAGTAGTTGACATTTGTGCAATATTGGTTTCTGGAGTAGACTTCAGTGACTCATCACTTACATACAGCACCCAGTGCTCATCCTAACAAGTGCCCTCCTTAATGCCCGGCCGCCATCTACCCCATCCCCCACCCACCTCCCTCCATCAACCCCTAGTTTGGTTTCTATCAGTTATGAGTCTCTTATTCGAGCTAGGATTTAAATCCAGGCTTACTGACTCCAAAGCCTGGCCCTTGGTACCTGTCCTGCCTTCCACCTAGCTGTCTGAACCTGAGCTGAGAGGCCTCTGGGAGGATTGTAGGGAGCTGTTGGCACTGGAACTGGCCCTTAAAGAGTGGCAGAAATGTCCTGAGCGAGACAGGTTCTCCATTAGATGGTCACAGTGGAAGAGAAAAATCCCTGGAATAAAACCATCTCTTTTTATACTAATAGGAGCACCCTTCTGCTTGGTAATTTCCAAGCCCCAGTTTTAGAGACTAAATAGGAAGTCCAGTTTGTCCTCAGACCTTTGTTGAATCAGGTCGATACGCGTCATTCTCTCCAAACTTGATCACCTGTGGGTGCCCCAGAGCGCTCCAGGCCTGTGAGAGTCAGGCTCAGATGCCAGGCCTGGGAACCTTGCCCAAGCTAAGGCCCTTTACTAAGTCCTGCTTGGTGGTTTTGGACGAACCATTGCTTTGTTTTCAGGGTGACTGGGTCTGAATCCTGCTTCAGCCACTTACTGGCCGAGTTGCTTTAGTAATGCACTCAACCCTTCTGAGCCTCGGTTTCTCTTCAGTGATAATACCTACTTATCGGGTGACTATGTGGATGGAGCAAAGTTGTATGTATTCTGTGCCTGACACTGGCTGGGGTGCATGAAATGTTAGCTGTTTTTGTTCTATTGTTACGGTGTTGCATGGTTTCCTGGACAGAATCCTCGGTGCCCACAACCCTGGATTTGTCCCTTTCTTTTCATGCCGAGGGTTCTGCCTCTGCCTAACTGTGAGCTTCTGAAGGCCTGGGCCCAGGCCTTGTTTGTTTGTTCGTCCATGGGTTCCTCCAGTGCATGGCCATTAAGTGCTTGGGTAAATGAGGGGTAGACCAAAAGGAAACAATTTCCTGCAAGTTTGTACACAGTCGTACCTTGTCAGGCAAAGAATGCCTTCATGGACTTTTGTAGAAGGAGGTCGGGAAAGAGGATGGTGGAATGAAGTTTTGGTGAAGGTTTGAAGGCTTGATCCAGGGCTGAGCTTGGATCAGGGGGTGCCTCTAGGCTTGAAGTTTGAGGAATGTGTTCCCAGTCACCAGTATAAGCTTAATGAGGGAAGGGAGCATGGCTCTCTTGTTCCCCACTGTATCTTTAGACCTAGAACCATGTCTGGCACATAGCATAGTAGAGGATCAACAGATATTTGTTGAATGAGTCAATTTTGTTCAGTCTCTAAAAAGATAAATGCCATGTAAATACAGACTCCATATTTATTAGTGAAATGCTTTGTAATCACTCTGAGAAAGTGCACACACACAGTGTCAACTGGTATAGTCCTTCTGGAAGACGATTTGGTATTAAAAGTATGCCCAGGTGTGTTTTTTAAAAAACAACTTTATTGAAATATAATTTGTATGCCATAAAGTTCACCCATACTATTCAGTGATTTTTTAGTATATTTACAGAGTTGTGCAATCATCACCGTAATCTTATTTTGGAATTTCATCATCTAAGAAAGAAACCCTGTGTCCTTTAGCAGTCGCTCCCGGTCTTAGCTTGGCTGATGTAACAAAAATGTCATAGACTGTGGCTGATTTGTAGATGACAGAATTTATTTCTCCCAGTTCTGGAGACTGGAACTCCAAGATCAGTGTGCCAGCATGGTTGAGTTCTGGTGAGAGCCCTCTTGTGGGTTACGGACTGCTGACTTCTCATTGTT